GCAAGATCGTATTTTGCATGTCAGTATTGAACCAACTCGTCGAGAGAGTGTATATGCATGTAATCCTATATCTATGTACACTAGTTGGCAAACCCGGCTCCGCCCGGCCCTTTCAATAACATATTTGTAATCAGCATGCTCGATTACCCCCCTGTGCCAACTCCCAGCCCCGTAGCTCAAATTTTGCAAAAAATCGATAAAATCGATATCGATCGATAACGAAAAATAGCCCATGACACCCGCCCCGCCCCAGAGTGTATGTGTGCCAAGTTTGGTCCGAATCGGTTGAGAAATGGAATTTTCTATTTGGAACATACGTACAGACACACACACAGACACACAAACAGACATTCAGCTTTATATATAAGATGTATATAAAACTCAAACACTAACTTTATTTGTTAGGATGTTTGTGGCTTATAGACTCTTTTATATATGAACCGAAAAGGCTGAAATTCTCTCCCCTATGAACAAGCCACGGCTCTAAAGCTAGGCCATTCTTCGCGACGACTCTCTGGGTCCTTCTATCGATTTATTGATTTGTTTACTCATATTCATATGAAAGCTTTTCATTTTACTATCAAATCATTTCCACAAGTAAAGTAGAGGCGGTAAAGATCATTTACATTTTGCGGCGAGGACAATGCGGTCACGAAGAGAGGCGATCAAGAAGGAAGATAACAACTACGGGTACCACGAGCGCCGCAGTGCAAACCAGAAACGGAAACAGAAAGGGAGATGGAAAGGAGTAACGAAAATTAGAATGAAGAGAAAGGGACGAGTTGTGGTTTCAAGACGCTTTGATCACCACGTTAGGCCAGTTTACCACTGCCCGGGCTGGACCGAGGACGTCGGCTAGTTTACAATATATCCCCGGCTGGGTTAAAGGCAGCGGCTCGGCAGATTTTGCATTTTCATCTTTTTGCATGTTTTGGGCCTTCTCGACCCGTAGATCCCGAATCTGAGCTTTAAAAGCGGTGAAAAGGCCTTTTTCGGGGCGTTTTTTTCAATTTCCAAAAGGCAGCTCGGACGAGAATTTTCAGGAAAGTCGAGAGGCCCTGGCACGAAGACCCTGCTGCCTGTAATTTTGGCTTTGTATAGCATGCACAATGCGGGAAAGCGGTTGGGGGGTCCCGCGCCGTCTAGCGGAGAATACTCGTCCGAACAAGGTGTTAGGGGAGCGAAAGGAGGAAGGGGAGCGGCGCTTGGGCCGCCCCCTGGCTTGCAGAGTTCACATTTTCGGCGCAGAGTTGCTGTTTTGGTTCACTTGGAGGGCCTCCTATCCATCTGTGTCAAAATCTGAGGTAGGTCAATCTGCCGAGCCGCTGCCTTTAAGCCTAATGTGATAGGTTTCCTTGAAGATTTTGTGCTCTTATGGTGTTTATGTGGCTGCAAAAAGGCAGCGAACTCCCTGGCAAGAATATGAAGCTCTCATAGCTTGTGGAAAGGGCGCAGACAGCGAGGGCTGGGCGAAGCACACGTCATCGGCTACAAAATTCCATAATGCTTCTGAAGATAAAATAATTGGCAGCGGACGAGATCGCATTGATACATCAATGGTAATTGTCAATTTCTGTTGGAACTAACTGAAGTCCGCAGGATCGAAGTGGCCTGAGATGTGGTATAGTGTGTGTCCCCGCCAGCTTCCCGCAGGTACTTCAACTGAGAATAGCAGAGAGAATAGCATGAAAACCGTGCTGAAGGCACGCGCCCACAGCGCATGCCTTCAGCGCGCTTTTCGTCCCAGCCTCTAACGGTTTTCATGCTATTCTCTCTTGAATGACTTTGTTCTGTTTTGTAAACTTTCTCTTTGAGGGTAAACGACCCATGAAAGCTGCCGGTAATGAGTATTTATTAGTTTCAATAGTCTTGAGACCTTTTGTCTCAAGAAGTTTTTTCTTGTGAAAACTGAGTAAATGAAGGAAATACCTGCTTGAAGGCAGTAGATCGGCAGAATGAGACCCGTGGCAAAACAAGGTCACAGGGTAGGAGCCCCCATAATGGAACCTAGGGCTCCGAGGTTCGATCTTTTTCCGCTACTTCCAACCGCCGAAATTTCAAAGCGAAAGCGGCTCTCATCTCCTCTTCTCTCCGACCCCGCCCACCCCACGGACAAGTGAACGCGAAGCCGGCCATGGCGAAGACGCAGAGTTGTTGCGGGACCCTAATGTTTATAGCATGCGGCATGCGCGCTCTGACCGTGGAAGTCACTCGTCCATGGGGTGCGCGGGATCGGAGAGGAGAGGAGATTAGTGCTGCTTTCGCGTTGAAATTTCGGGGGTTAGAAGTGGCAGAGAAAGATCGGGCTTTGGCCGATAGGTTCCATAATGGGGGCTCCTAAACTGTGACCTTGTTTTGCCACGGGACTCATTCTGTCGATCCACTACCTTTAAAGGCAGTGTCCCGGCATTCCTCCAGGCTCAGTCCGGCTGGTTATTGTTCCCCCCACGCCGAGAAAATGGCCCTCGAACCGGCGCGCGCAAACCCAATCGGCACGCGCTCGGACGACTTCTCTTAGGGTGGAGGACATTAGGTCGCCGAATTTGGAAGAGTCCCGCGCGGATTCCCTGCAGAAACGCATGTCCGCGTATGTACAAGGGTGCTTATTTGTCGCAAATGACCGCGGGGACCGCCCGGCGACCTAATGTCCTCCACCCCTTCTCTTATCTGTTCGGAGCGGGACCCCGCCACGACTCTCCGCATGGTGCATGCTGTCTAAAGCAAAAATTACAGGCGACAGGGTCTTCGTGCCGGGGCCTCCCAACTTCCCATTGAAATTCTCGTCCGAGCTGCCTTCTGGCAGTTGGGTAAACACTTCGGAAAAGGTCTTTTCAGCCGTTTCAAAGCTCAAATTCGGGGTCTACGGGTCGAAAAGGCCCAGAATATGCAAAAAGATGGAAATGCAAGATCTGCCGGGACATTGCCTTTAAAGGCATGGCTCGGCAAATCTCAACCTAGTCAAATTTGCGCTTACCTGGGGTTTTTCACTACGCTGATCCCAAAAATCCACTTTTGAAAGCTTGAAAACGGCGAAAATGAGCGTTTTTTAATGCCCTTCCCTTTGATATTGGACGAGTGGAGCAGGGCTGATGACGCTAAATCGTGGCGGGACCCAATAGTTATAGCGTTGCGGCGGGCAGCCTCCAATGGTGAGAAGGAAATTGCCAACTCGTCCAAATGCGTGTAAGATTGGCCTGCGCGTGTAATTTCGAGAGCGATTTTCTCGGCAGGGAAAGCATGCTGTGCAACAGGGATTGCACTGTTTTCTGGGCGATAAGGAATCTACCGCGTTAAAATCCCGAGTTGTTGGATTTTGCCGATCCACTGCTTTTAAAGGCAGCGTCCAGGCAGATCTGGACCTATGGGGCTTTTACGTGGAAAGTACTTTTGGGGCCCTAACTAAGACATTGCCCAAGCGGCAGCTCAGGTAGTGCTGTAATGGCTGAGATATTCCGCTCGAAACTGAACCCCGCGACCGTGTTCCGCATGGATTTATGGCGCAAAGCGTGGATCCTGGCGCGAAACTGCCATGAATCCATGCGAATACGTTCGCGGGGGCCAGTTTCGAGGGGAATATCTCAGCCATTAGAGCACTACCTGAGCTGCCGCTTGCGCAATGCCTTAGTTAGGGCCCCAAAAGTACTTTCCACGTAAAAGCCCCATAGGTCCAGATCTGCCTGGACGCTGCCTTTAAAGGCACCGTCCATTCAGATGATTCTCGACTTCCAGGTTTTTGTCGTTTCAGGGCTTTCTCATGTCCCTGATCTAAATATGAAGTCGAGAATCCGCGGAAATCCCGAAAATCCCCATTCCGGAGAACCCACAGGCGGGCTTTCCAGAACGATGATTGGATGGGCGCGCACAAATGGGCGGGCATAGATGGGGGTCCTCGTGCATCTTCGCTATTCCGAAGCGATTTTCTCGCTTCCGAAGCGGCATTTTGCGCCGCAACTTGGGCATTGGCTCGATAGGAGGCCCTACTGTTATATGCTGCCAAAAGCTCAACACCCTCAACTTAGTGGACAGTGCCTTCAAAGAATCCTATCACAGAATGAGTGTCTCCATTCGACTGCTTCTGTATCATCATATATGCTCCCAATGACTGGATATACTGTATACAGCTGTTTTCATAGGCTTTTGATGAAGTTGGTCAGAGCAAGAACTTTGCGCGAAAATTTTGCAAAATATGAATCATTCGCTGAAAATCAGTTTTTGAGAAAAGAGTCATCCTGTAAGCCGTTTGTGTCTCTTTCCTCAGAAATGCATGGAACAAGTGAAAAACAGAAAGTTAAAAGAACGTTAAAAACGCGGACACCAACAGGCGAGATACTAACCTACACACCCCTCGGCCACGACTGAAAAAGACATGCAGTCCCAAGACAGTGCATGAGCCAAAGAGGGGGCCACAGGTTGCTCCAGAATAGCGCATCACGGCAAATGGGTGCACATTTGACACTAACCTCCCAGACCATAAGTCCGAGTATATACCACATCTCAATCGGCCACTCCGATACAGTGGATTTCCCTTCCAGTTTATTTTCTAAGAAATTTTCAAGCCGGTTTTTCTCCAGAAAAAACAGGGCCGCAAAAGTTTTTTGAAGTGGTCTACATGAGCTACAAAATTGTGCAATCAAATCTTACGTGAGTTATAAAATTGTGCAAACTACTTTACATATGTAAATAATTTGAATAACTTTTGAAATTTCCTTGAAATTTAAATCAGCTTTGTGAAGAATTTTCTCAAGGTTACGGACCCCAAGAATTTTGAGAAGCTTCAGAAAAATTATCGGAGTGCGTGACTGACGCCACGCATCTTCATTCACAGAAAACTCCGTCGTCACCCCCCCCCCCCCCCTTCCTTGACGGGATTCCCGCGACCTCCACTGACGGATGAATAAGATGCTCAAGGAACATCACATCATTGAAAGAGGAAATGACAAATTCCGACCAAATTTCAGCGCCTTTTGGCAGGTAATCTATGATTTTATAGCAATACTTACCGCCTAGCTCTTGCTTGGCTTCCTGCAATTGTGCCATGAGAGTGGAGCACTCACTGCTTACACGAACTGACGAATCCCTAGAAGTGATCACCTCATTCATATCCACGCATCTATAGCAAAACCGCTCACTTGTGAGCGCAAAGCTGCTCGCTAAGCTCTTTCTTTTCGGCAGTAGCAGATTCCAAAGCGCACTGGGCTTCCTTCAAAGACTTGCTGAGCTGGACCATCTAAAGCACAGCATACAAACAAACAGATACGGATGCTGCACATAGACAAAAGTTGCTGTAAGGTAAACTTTTTTGCGGAGATTAGCTGTAAGACTAAAGTGCGTTTCACAATTATACGAACACCTAAAATTTTGTAAGTTTTCGGACTTTCTGGGAGAAAAAAGCCGTTGGTACCACGCGATAGAACACAGCCGAACACGAACATCTCAAACAAAGGTCCATTATTCATTCAAGATTGCAGTCATTTGAGTCCAAATTTTTGTAGAGTTACAGCAACAAAGTCTGACATATCTGCTACACACTGAACCCAGTGCAATTTAAAAAGAGGACCGTTACTTTTTTCAGAAGGCTCTAAATGCTTTTAAAGTAATTGCGCTCTAAAAACCCGTTCTTCTGTGGTTTACGCGCTCTAATTAGCTACCCAAAGCTATGAGATAAAATGAGCTCTTTCGATGGGTATTTTGTTTGACGCTTGGAAAATCTTTGCGTTTTCGTGCCGTTTTTCAACCACCCAACCTTACCCTAGAGTTAGCACGATTTCGAGCCTCAAAACTCAGCTTCTGAAGCCGTACAATGAAGTAAGCATATAGTATGTAGAAGGTCACAAGACTGTATGTTCGGCTAGAAAAAATCAGCAGCGTTGAGCGTTTGTTTTGGCCAGGCAGAGTAATTTCACCAACACTGTTTTTACTACTGCAATCACAGCTTTATTTGGTTTGTAGCTCCACAGCCTCAAGATCAGTTCTACAAAAAAAAACCAAAAACTTTGGCACAGAAACATCATCATGCAAACAATGCAGCTGCTTCATATCAAATGTTTGCGCAAGAGAGAAGCTGAGTTTTGAGGCTCGAAATCGTGCTAACTCGTGGTAAGGTTGGAACTTGATTGAAAAACGGCACCAAAACGCAAAGTCGAAGCGTCAAACAAAATACCTATCAAAAGAGCTCTTTTATCTCATAGCCTTCGTAGAAGCTAATTAGAGCGCGTAAACCACAGAAGAACGGATGTTTTTGGAGCGCAATCACTCCAAAAGCATTTAGAGCCTTCGGAAAAAAAGTGACGGTCCTCTTTTTGAACTGCACTGGGTTCAGTGTGTAGCACATATGTTAGACTTTGTTACTGTAACTCTACAAAAAATTTGGACTTAAATGATTGCAATCTTGAATGAAAAATGGACCTTTGTTTGAGGCGTTCGTATAATTATGAACCGCTAAAAATTCGCATTGGGCGGAAAAACGCTCCTAAGATTGATATCAATTTCCACTCTTATGGATCATATACCGTTTTCGGCTGTGTTCTATCGCATGGTACCAACGGCTTTTTGAGTTTCTCCCAGAAAGTCCAAAATTGCAAAATTTTGGGTGTTCGTAAATTATGAACCGCACTTTATGGGGTCATCTTAACATAGTGAGAAGCGCCACGCCCTTTTTTTCCCGAAATTTCCGGGTTATAGGCGCAAAAATTTTCGGTAACATCCCAAGAATTTTTCGAACTGCGTGGCTAACGCCACCCCCGCCCTGAACGGAAATGTGGGTACACCGCTGTGCCAAAAGTGCGTCAATCTGGACCAATTCACCTGTACTCAGCGTTGAACAAAAAATGTAGTCTACCTTTCTCTCGTAGTCCTTCAGTTCCAACGAGAACACGTCAGTGGCTGTCTGTTGCTCCTTAAGAGCAACCGCTTCTTGTACAGCATCATCAAGCTTGGAGCGTAGCTCGCTATTGGAAGCAAGGGCAGCAGCGAGGTCTTCATCGATGCGAATCCGCTGAAATCAGACAGAACTTAAATAACAACTGAATCTTTTGAAAGTGCCTGTCAAATGACCAATTACTCAAGTCCTTGATAGAAAAGCTGGAGCATACCAATTAATGAAAAACTTCACTTTTCATAGGACAAGAGCCACCGTATCGGTGCTACTGCGTCTGTGCGCACATTAGACCCATCAATCTAACTGGCCTTTCGAAATGACATGCACCATTGGAAATTCTCGACCCTGATTTTACCATGAATTCCATAAGTGTAAAAAGCTCCTCTGAAAAGAGTTACGAGCGTTGTTTGTGCTGGGACCTATGAGTAATACGGTTCTCGGCACACAGCACCAGCGGTCATGGTGTAACGGCTATGTACCGACATTCTAGGCAAAATTTGACAAATTATAGTCAGGTTTCAACACGGGTACTGAACTCAAGTCAAAAACTTCGCTTTTGGGGTAAAGAGCAAAGGGATATCGTGAAACACGTTGAACATATGTACATCTAACCTCAGACATGCTCTTCCGCTTCACCATAGTCTGTACATAACTCCCAACGTGTTGTTTCTCACAAAAGCACGAAATTCGAAACGGTGCTAAGAACAAATGGCTCGATTACAGCGTACCGTTGATCACACGATTAGTCTGAACCACATGTACACTTTACCATTTCCAACTAAACTGTGTAAAACGTTTATGTGTTGTGATATCTGTCAAGTCCAAGAGGTGCATTCTCTTGATTTGAATCGTTCATCCTGACTGTCCTGCTTTACATGAACAGAACATTATGACTAGAATCTTTATTATATATGAACGATATATAGAAAAGGGAAGGGAAACCGAAGGTCACCCGGTTGCACAGCTCATCTGGAGTTTCTGGGCACCGCCCAGTTGGCGTGAGGACTGACGGACCATCTAATTATCTGCGTCTTGACATGTCCATTCCATAGCAAAGCTCGCCCTTGAGCGGAAGACATGAATTTGGTTAAACGGAATATGATGGTTTATGCCTGATTCCTAACTCGAGGCAGGGATTAATCAGTTTTACATGGATGAAACACTTTATGGGAGAAAACGTCAATGTAAAGTTATAACTTTTCTTGGTGATTTCGTCTAGCTTCTTTGACAGCCGGTTTGGCTGATGAGACGACGTCTTTGTAGATGCTAGAGTGCATTCTGTGAAGCTGCTTGGCTTGCAGCTCTAGTACCATAATCGTTGACATGAATACGGACGAAAACTTTTGCACTTTTCGCAGGCTGTTTTGCTCCAAAAAAAAAGAAAACAAGTTAAGATTTGGCTCTATTGGAAAATAAAAATAGGTTCTGAGATTTAGTTTCGAAAATTTGAACTGGAGCTATTGAGAAGAAAAAAATACGTTGTGTGCAAGGAAATTCGCCACTGAATGGACGGAGGAGACGCAGACTGATTAGATGTGACAGTCCCCACGCCAACTGAGCGGTGCCCAGAAACTCCAGATGAGCTGTGCCTAACCGGGTGACCGGCGGTTTCTCTTCCCCTTTCTACATAACTTTCAAATATAATAAAGATTCTAGTCATAAAGTTTTGTTCATGTAAAGCAGGACAATCAGGGTGAAGGATTCAAGTCAAGAGAGTGCATCTCTTAGACTTGACATATCCATTCTTAAATTTGATGGTTTTTAAGCCATCACCAAACCAATGGGGTTCGGAGCGTAAATCTCTAGATCATAAGTTCTAGACCGTTCTAGCTTGGACTATGTAATACAGCCCCAAGCATTTATTATAACAGTAAAAAGACCGAACCAAATCATTGCTTCGCACATTTTTGAGCCATCAAAAGATTCAAATTGTAAACTTTGAATTATTATGCGCTCTGATTCATCACTGAGCGAGTACCTAGGCAAGCGTCATACTTGATCCTCTTCATCCATGATCCTCTTCGTACAAAACGCGCCCCCACTAATCTGTCATTTGGCGTCGCGTACAGCGATTATGCGCAACTCTGACATTCGGTGCGTGCGGCGCGCGCGCTCCCCGTGCGGCGCTATGTAGTGCGCGCGGGCCGAACGGTATCGAACGCTCCATCCGCAAGCTACTAGAGAATAAGTCTTTCAGAGCTTCTTTTTCTTCTCTCGTCTTGCCGTGAGCATTCTCAACTTCACAGTCCAAAAAAATTCCAAATTTAGAAAATTCGAAAATTTGAATTTCAATTCATAGAATGTCTCAGATTCCTCCTCTAGGTAATTCACTATGCGTAATTGGACTTACAGAAACTTAGTTGGTGGATGATTATGATATCAGCAATACATCGCATTTTGCTGACCTTCGTACTACGTATAAAGTGTGCAGGTGCGACCGCACTGTAAAAGAGGGGGAGATGTTGCTTTTTTGATGATCAGGGCCTAGTGTCCCCGACTAATTCTCGTGAATCGGTTAAATATGGCTATGAGGTCTTATGTGTTGAAATCTTGACCAAGAATAAGGAAGTTCGATCGGATTTTATCTACAGAACACCTTCTTGCCCCAAAGAGCGTTAGATCAGATGACTAAAGTAATTTGCGATCTGATTGTGCATCACGATCACAGAGACTTTTACAGTGTAGACGTTTTGGATTTTATGGCACATTTGGATTTTTTGACGGGCCTGCTTAAAAATTACAAACTTGAAGTGATTTCCTTTTCCCAATTTTATCTCTGCATTCAAAGCTTAGTAGATAGCAGCCAAGGTAGTCTTAAAAAATGCATGAATTGCTCTTTTCGATATGGTTCTAGCCATGCAAATACATCGTGTTAGGAAGAAGTTATGATTTTTTGAAAATGGTGCGACAAAACTTTCGGACCAACCCAATAATTTGTTGAGAGCCCTCTCCACAACAGATGTTGACATTATCAAGAGGGCATATAAGGTTTATATCAGACGTATAATAGATTATAGAACGGTAATCTTCAATTCAACGAAGCGGAGAACTGTACAAATACTAGAAAGAGCGCAAAACAACTTTACAAGAAGTTGTTGATTAAAACTAAAGGTCTATATAAACTTTTACCCAACGAAAAGGACCGATGGTCTTAGGACTGGTCAGCAAATCCAATAGAAGAAGAAAGTCTGGTCTTATTATGGCTCACAAAATATTATTTGGACTGCCAACCCAACTCCACAAACTTCTTTGGGACTAGAAATTCTATCACCAGCGAGGAACCTCAAAAAATGGTGATACCAAGAGCAGGAAGGAATGTGAGAAGAAGATTCTTTACAAATAGACAGCGACGATCTAGGTAAACTGGTGAGAAAGGGTATGCTTCTTTTTAAATTGTCTCAGTTCAAAATGGTTCTTGAGAACTATCTTCTTTCGAGGAAGTTTCTACATTTGATTGTTAGTCGTATCTACTTTGTTGTGTTGATTTGTTTTGTTGATTACACTTTGGTGTCTTTTTGAATGTAATACGCATAAGAATTTCCTAGGCAATAAATAATAATAACTTGCAAAGAAAATTTTTAGAAGCTTAATAATAATACCCAGTATGATATGAGAGACAAAATTGCAGATGCCCATAATTCATGAATTGCTCAAAATTTTTGAAATTTCTTTCACTCCTTTCGTTTTTTTTTCATGAGTGAAGGGGTTTGGCTGGATCCCGGCCCAGGGTGAAGGGGGTGGAAACACATTGTTCCCCTTTTCGCATGTATGGCATTGAGTTAGCGGTAATTTAGAAGTGCACCAGCGATTCTATGCCGGGGTTAGTAAATTGTGAAGGGTAAATTTTATGACATTACCGATCAGGCTTAAAAAGCCAGCATACAAAAGAAAGATAGCCCTCTTCACTGATCTTATATCAGCTTCCCTATGCATGGGAGCTCTAACAAGGGAAGGATACTTGGTCGAAGTGGCGTTTCCATATGAACTGTATACTATCTTATAGAGCACTAGATGGCAAACCCGGCTCCGCCCGGGACCAAACTTTGCACACATACACTTCGGGGCAGGGAGCGTGTCGAGCATCGAGCATGCTGATCACCCCTCCGGGGTGATCAGCATGCTCGATTACCCCCCTGTGCAAAATCCCAGCCCCCTAGCTCAAATTCTGCAAAAAATCGATAAAATCGATATCGACCGATAACGAAAAGTAGCCTATGACACGCTTCCTGCCCCGAAGTATATGTGTGCCAAGTTTGGTCCAAATCGGTTCAGAAATAAAAATTTCTATTCCGCACATACGTACAGACAGACATACATACAGACAGACATTCAGCTTTATATATAAGACTAGCTGGCTTACCCGGCTCCGCCGTATGTTCCGAACAGAAAAACCAAACTTGGCACACATACACTTCGGGCCCCGGCGGGTGTCACAGTCCACTTTTCGTTATCGATCGATGTCGATTTTATCGATTTTTTGCAAAATTTGAGCTAGGGGGCTGGAATTTGGCACAGGGTGGGGGGGGGGGGGGTAATCGAGCATGCTGATCACCCCCGTGGGGGTGATCAGCATCCCCAGTGCGACACCCGCTGGGGCCCGAAGTGTATGTGTGCCAAGTTTGGTCCGGATCGGTTCAGAAATGGAATTTTCTATTCGGAACATACGTACATACAGACATACAGACATACATACAGACCAGTGGCGTACCGAGGGGGGGGGGGGCGGGGGGGAGGGGCGCGCGCCCCCCCCCCCCGAGAATGGGTCGCGAAATTTTCGAAAGTTACTTATATGGGTTATAAAAATGTGTAAGTGACTTGTTTATTTTTGTAAATAATTAAAATAATTTTTAAAAATTTTTAAAAATTCAAATTAGCCTTGTAAAAAAAATTTTCTCGGGGGCGTGGCGTCAGCCACGCCCCCTTTTTCCAGATTTTAGGGGTCGAGGACCCGAAAAAACTTTGGGAAGCACCCCCAAAAATTTTTTGGAGTGCGTGGCTGACGCCACGCACATTCTTTAGAAAAAATTTTTTGTCGCGCCCCCCCCCCCCCCCGAGCCGAAATCCTGGGTACGCCACTGATACAGACATACAGACATACAGACATACATACAAACAGACATTCAGCTTTATATATAAGATGGAACGCTGATTCCAAATCTGCTTTCGGTATCTGCAAAGCGCTTCTAGGAGGTGAGTTCTAGGAATTTTTTGAGACAAGGATTCAATGACTTGGCTAAGATAAAAGTTGGTGATGAGGTCTTTCCGACGCTTGAAAGGAGTAATGACTAACATGAGTTTATTGGATTGAAGGTCTTTATTCCATAAAATGTCCTGGTAGTTTGAACTCAGCGTTTGATGCCCTGTAAGGTATTATACATTTCGTATGGAAACGCCACTTCGACCAAGTATCCATCCCTTGTAAGTGAAAAGACAACTCAACACAGTAACACCAGTTTAACACATTGTCAATTTGATATTTGATAGAGTCCAGTGGCGGTAAGAGGATTTTACCGAGGGGTGAGTAGGGGAAAGTTACGGAAGATTTCTTTTCGAATAAATGGGGGTAAGGTCAGCCACATCTTCCAAAAACTTTTCCGAGATTTGCAGTTTGCGAACTGATAACCTCGCTATTCTGCGGAAAGAGTCGTAGCACCAGCCTTGTCCGACAAACACTATGTGTGTGTCTTGACGGAATGCCTAAGCAAAATTGTGTACTGAAGTATAGGTTCCTTGCACAGCGTGCCGTCCAGTGGTGATGTAATGACATGTGCACCACACTGTGGGCAATATTTCTCAAAGTTAGGTTTTGCCATGTGGGACTGCTTTTGCTACCAGCATTAATAGGTGAGAAGAAGTTCCGATCTCACCGTGAGACCTTTCTGCTCTCATAGAATATGTTACTAAATCACTCAAAGTTATCAACTGAAAAATCTTGACACGGAATCAAATTACGACGACTGACTCTTTGTATCGCGATATGATTCACAAACAAATTTGCAATTTGCGAGCCAGTCCTTCTTTAAGGTCATTACCCGAGATGTGTTGAATCAAACCATTTTCTAAGTAGGCCATAATTTTGAGCCGCATTTAACGTTGTACATGCCAAGCTGTTAACGCCGCACTGAAACGGGGTCCATGTCGAAAGGCGCGCGTTTTGGCAGTTGCCAATGCCAGGCTGGGCTTGTACTCTACAAAAAACTTTTTATACTCGAACATTTGGTAAATAGATTGAAAAGTATAGAAAAGGACCACCTAGTTGGAATTCGAAAGGAAGACGGTAATGGTACGGTAATTTCTGGTTCTCTTACTCGATCACAATCGACCAATACGCTACTTTGCACCGTCTCCCTTGGTACCAACTGAAGTCGATCAATCGGTACGCGGTGCGTCCACATGGTTTCTGGCACGACGCAAGCACGGCGCTGAGACAGCTTTGGAACGACTCTGGCACGGTGCTGCAGCTGCACCAGCACACTGGGGCAACACAAGCACTGCTGCAGCGTTCAAAAAGTTGTGCGCGAATTACTAATATAAAAGCAATTGCACGAGAACACTTCACTCTTATCAGGCGAGACTCGGACCTATTCGCCTATATACCGGCATATTATGAAGACCCCGCAATTCACCTAGGTGCCGGCATGTACAACGCTCGCTAGTCTTAATGGAAGACAAAGTTGTGATCATCATCAAAAGGAAGGTGAAACATTTTCTGTCCCAAACGGCTGCTTAGAGAGCTTCTTTACCAACAGAACTATTGAAGCAGCTTAATGCTTCCACTCGTGCTCAAGGAAACTGACTCCAAAATCCAGCCCAGATCGCACCCATTGCAAACGGGCAAAACACCGTCTTCCAGTGTGGCGAAAAGTATGGTCTGTACTCAAATTTCTCGTTCACGTATAGGCCTATGAGATTTGGCTTGGGCTCCTAGTGACTAACTCTATGACAGTATCGAATTTGTGAACACAAGCTCGAATACTCACCTCTTTTTTCAACAAAGCGATTTCGGTTTTCAGTTCGGAATTCTCCTCCAATAGTTGCTCATTGTCAATGAGAATGCGCTCCTCGCTCTAGAAGAAATAGTTATAAGTCTTCACCTGTGAATTCATCAGAAAAAAGGAAAGACAGAATGTACGGTGTTGTTTTTTCTTTTAGTTTTACTCGTCACGTTTTTCACTTTCACCTACGACACCCGGAACGTGGGATGCAGCAGACCTTGAAAGGCATATCGGCAAAATAGATCCCTGTCCGATTTGACAGCGTTAGGTAGTAGACGCCCCAACTACACCATAGCCCCCACCCCTCCCTCCAATTCAAGCGCTGCGTTCCGAATACGCGCTTCAAAACTCCACCAGCCCAGCCCACTTCACTGAGTGGACGTCATTGGTGGGATTTGAAGCGTATTTTCAGGACTCAGCGTATGAATTGGAGGGTGGAGGTTGGGCTACTTAGGCGGTCTACTACCTAACGCTACCAAAATCTTATTAGGGTAAATTTTGCCGATCCACTGCTTTGAAGCTATGCATAGTGGGGTGCTGAAACTTGGTTTAGAAAATTAGTAGGGATGGCACGGTTAGGTAGTGATATGATAAGGAGCAAAAGTGCCAATATTTGAAGACGAGCAGTCTTCCAAAACTACAAGAACAATCACTGAGATTCTCCACATCATCAGCTAGGATCTCGGAGCAGACTTATAGTAAAGAGCGACACTTTGCAAGCAGCTGAGGGCAGGTTTTCGACTTCAATTTTTTGTTCTATCCAGGCTTTTTCGTAGTAGAGATTTCAAATATGGTATAGGGTGATCCAGAAGTAATGGGGCATCTAGAGAATAAATGCAGTTTTCTCAAATAGAAAAGCTAACTGGAAGTCCAAGTTTTGGCAGATGTTAGTACATAACAAAACCTTCTGATCGAGGTCTATAGTTGGGCATTGTCACATGGCGTTATTTTTATAAGCGCTTAAAATGAAAGCTCATCACTTCAAGCAATTTTGAACTTTGATCAGCAGCACCGCAGTAGAACAAGTGAGCCTCGGGACTGTCACCAAATCCACAATAGCTCGGTGGTCCCAAGGCTTTAGAATAGAAGATATAGCATTTGGTATCAAGAGGCATAGTACTTGTTCTTTCATCAAGGTAATCAAATAAGCTCAACTTTAACAGTTGCTTTCTGATAGCGCTTTTTACGCTCTATCCACACATATACAAATTACTTCGACTTTTCTCGTTTTCAAAAAATTGTGGGCCAAAACGTAAATTTTAGTCAAAAAATCTGCGCCAAACACCGCATATTTTCGAATAAAGTGCCTTTTTTGTATGAAATAGTGGGCATTTTTTGAATATTCAAGTAATCATCAGAAAGAACTTGGAAAGCTCCTTCGAATGGTATGCCATATGTCGAGGGTCCTTCAGGTGCAGCAGCACAAATTCGGATGGCGTTCAAAAAAGTCTGTCTGACTTTTTGAAGCGCCGCTTGAAGAAGGTCGGTGAGGTGCAGGAAGGTGCTGTCAGGATAACCTGCGAAGGTCACTTTATACAAAAGCGTTCAAATTGCTGGTTGTTCATAGCTAATCAGAAAGAGATCTTGAAGAATTCTCAAAAAAAATCAAGGTGCCCCATTACTTTTGGATCACCCTAATAATTTGGCTCACATGCACGTACACCCCGCGGGGAGGGGAGGGGATCTGAGAAAAAACCCGTCATCTCTTGTTATTCTAGATTCTTTCTTCTTCTCCTTTCTCTATCTGGATTATAAAGGTTCTCATACCCTGATACCTGCGCGTGATAGATGCCAGGTTACTGCTATAAAAGATTAGATTTTCATTATGCTTGTGATCTGGGGATCCTCTCCAAAGAATCACCTCTCGTTTTCGAAGTCATTTATCCCTACATACTCAGTGAGAATGCTGTAAAATTGCGTTGAGGATCTAATAAGGCACTGCTAAACATGTTTATAGTAGTAATAAGTGAGATCTCAGGATACAGAAATCTTTGATGAACCACTGCTCGCGAGCTAGGTATGACCGAAAAATTCAGTCTTCAGATTCGATTCCTGTCCAAAACATGCTAAACAGTGCCGTAGTATATCCTCAGTACAATCCTAAAGCTATTCTTTGAGTTTTTAGGAAAATAGATGACTTCAAAGATGGGAAATGATCCTCTGGGGACCCTCAGGAAATCAAAAAAATAATGAAAATCTGATCTTGTATGGCAGGAATCTTCCTGACATCCGTTACGTGCAGGAATAAGGGTATGAACCTTCATAAGCCAGACAGAAGATAGAAAAAGAAGAAGAAAGATATCCAGAGAAGCAAGATATGACGCGTCCCCTCCAGGGTTGAGCGTGGAGTGGGGAGCGCCCGACCTGGGTCCGTATGGGGGGGGGGGGAGGGGGAGCGGTTTTCTTCAAAAAAAGTGAGGAAATATTACGATCGAAGAAGGTGAAAAGGAAAAGCGCTCAACCATGAATTTAACAACTCTACCAGAAAAATGACTTCCGTGAACAGCATGCTTATTACTCCACTAATGGAGTCTCAGCCAAATTCCAATCCTTCTACCTTACCCATATAGTAAGGTCACAAAAGAAGCTTTTTATGTAAATTGGGTATGATTTCAGTTATGTCAAATCACCTCAACGAGCTCTACAAACCATTACCTATTACATTTTGTAGTGTTTCCTAACGTATAAAAAGCATATTTTCAAACATGATTAACTTGGTCACAAAAGTGAAAGAATCCAGCTTTTTTGTGCTCATAACGAAGCAGTACTTTCTATCAGTCTACGGTAGGAATTGGGCTTTATATCGCTTTCTAATGGATTAAGAAGTGCTGTCAGAATGTTGTCACCGCGTTTTCTACCCCGGGTGCTTCAACTCCACCTATCACCACAAAGCCAAAGCAAGTCGAGGTAAGCTCAAACACCTATTGCAGAATCTTCGAGGTTTATGCTGCCAATCACGTAGAACTAAGGCGGAAAAGCTTCTTCGGTGATAAAGTTAGTCGGGTCAGGCGCAACCCCTCAAAAGGTCAGGCTGCCTGAGCTTTAGAGGCGTTAGCCTGACCCCCTTAACTTGCCTTAAAAATCCAGGAATCGCTCCATTCCTGGTATGAGTATTGAGCGCATAGCTTTTTCTTGCTACAATGGAAATTTGGAGTCGAACGCCCCGCCCCTACAAAAATTATAGCCCTTTCAATAGGCCCATCCAGATCAAAATCAGCCATCAAATTACGTGTTGTAAAGTGCAGTCACAGAAAATCGGCACTTCTTCTTCGGGACAGTTCTCAAAAATCTGAAGACTCTCTAGAAAAAAATGTTCCCAGAATGTCACATTCTGAATTTCCGGAGGTGAAGAGGGGGAAGAAGGGGTCGTTTGAGGGCTTTCATGGGAGGGGGGGGGGGATCTTTTCGAAAAACTTGTGCCTGACCTCTTGCTCAACTCTGGTCCGCTCTCATTGTCAGATGTCCTCCCCTGCCCGCGGGGATGTGCGAGCATGGCCTTAGAATGCGCAAATCCGTCGAAAATTAATTCTTTTTTGAGGCCATATTTCACCCCGGTATGGGTGAGATATAGTTCATCAATCTCCTGATCTTGATCGCGCGCTGTCATAAGCGAGCGCACAAACCTGATCAAACACTTGTTTATGACGGTGAAACACCCCGATCAGAATGAAAAGAAATAATAGACCCCGCACCAGCATTTGCGTTCCTTGGGGGCTAGCGCTTGATGTAGCCAAAACCTGCCCAGACGCTGCCTTCAAAACCCGCATGCACGTACCGTCAAGTCGTAGTGAGCAGGTGGCTGACAATGCGGGATAAGAGACGCGCGTTTCAAACGTTGCGAGCTAGACCTGTACATTTAAACAACTTCACTATAGTTCAGCTCAAGAGCAATAAAAGATGGTAAAGACTGACTTCAGAGTTTTATTTTTATTATTTATTTTGTGCATTCATAGATGCTCCTGACGAACGTGGTTAGTGCAAAAAAAAACAGAACAACAAATAGCCAATCATAGACGGTGTCTCCAGCAGCCATAGTGGATCCAAATTTAGAAGACAGCAAGCTTAGCCCACTAATTCAACAGCATAAATCATGGTGTGAAAGCCATAAGCGAATCACTTTCAAGCGAATCAAAAGAGGAAGCACCAAAGCGAATGGGCGAATCCATGCGTACTTGGCGGAGGACCTCTTTCAGCTCCCTCTTACATCGCTACCATGAGAAACAAATAAAAGTTGAATAAAATGGGATGGCTTGGAAGAATATTGTGTACGATCCAAAGTAGCTTCACATAATTTAGAACACAAATCGATGCAGTCTGTCCCGATCCGGATCAGAGCAAAACTGACGTAATGTGCCCGCACTGCTACGATTCTGCGTCATTCGGCGGTCTGCTCCAAGAAGTCGTGATAGGGCCTGTCTGTTCTCTTTTCATTTTCCTGAATTTCCTCCAGCTGCTGTGTGCGTGCACATGCAAAGCCAACGCCCAGCGTTGCGAGCGAGCGTCTTCGAAAGCCAAACCTTTCGGACTGATTCCGATTGCGCTAACTACCTCTGTGTCAATGTAACATTCGTTCACATTTCCGCAGGTCATTTCTTCTGCGAAAAGCATAGATGTTAGGCCCATAGTCCGCACGCGCGCCCAGCTGGCTTGGTACTCCGCACCCATTTTGCACCAGTGCGCGTGAGCCATGCGGCAATCGCGCGAAAGCAGCGCGTCCAGCTTCGTGGCTCGCGACGTCGCACGATGTAACGACTTTTATGAAAAGTTGCATGAAGACACCCAGAAAAAATTGCTCTTTCAGATTCCAACGCGCGGCATCGTCCGTCGCACCATGATAAGGTGCAAGACTGTAAAAAACTTGTTCATTTTCTTCTTTTTTGATTGTTTTCACGTTCTTATTATCTTATATATAAAGCTGAATGTCTGTTTGTCTGTCTGTCTGTACGTATGTTCCGAATAGAAAATTCCATTTCTGAACCGATCGGGACCAAACTTGGCACACATACCCTTCGGGCCCCGGCGGGTGTTGGTTTTGTGGTTTGGTCCGGATCGGTTGAGAAATGGAATTTTCT